CTTTGAAACACAAAGGGGCTTGAGAAAAAAAGCTTAATCATTTAACACTCTTAGTTCAGTGCTACTGTAGTAAATGACACATATTTCAAATTAGAACTGGCTTGATTATTTTCAAGTGACTCTTAACACTCTTGCATTGTACATGTTTGGTTCAGGTGGCAGGACTTCTATGGTGACTTCTTGTCACACTTTGTAATGTTTAAAATTTTTGTAATCTTTATGCCATTCTTGACACAAAGGTGTATAATATAAGGAAGTCAGACATATGTACTGTATGAGTATTTATTTAAGACAGTCATTTTCATGGCCCCTCAAGTACTGATAAATTCATTACTATAACTTTTTTCTACTTGAAACACCCTAATTGTGATAGATTTCCTTGATCATAATTTATAACTCACCTGTCCTGCTTTTTTGTGATCTTGTTTGTAAATTAATGTGACTACATTGCAAATGGTATTATTTTGACTCTGTTTTTAATTATTAAGTTGTATAGTCTTCCCCTATGAAAGTTAGTACACATAGGTATGTTTATTACACATTAGCAAGCATGTATGTTCAATAGTTAAATAACCCTATCAAAATTAGATAGGGTGTTTTAAGTAGTCAATGCTCTTAAATTTATGGTGAGCATGCCACAGCTTCCTGAATGCTGAGCATGTGAACTGCCACACATTTTTGTAAGCTGTATTTCAAATAGAACATATATATATATATATATATATATATATATATATATATATATATATATATACATATACATATATATATAGAGAGAGAGAAATAGATAGATAGATAGATAGATAGATAGATAGATAGATAGATAAATAGATAGATAGATAGATAGATATATCATGATGGCAAAATATCAATCCCATCATAGCCTGTTTCCACAGGGTTACAAAACTTTAAACACTGGGGGCAGCGGTTGGGGGACAAAGACACTTGTGCACACCCTGCCAAAAACAAATCCGAAAACAATATGATGACTCTGTAGATAATAAAGCAAATCAGAGAGGTGGTAAAAGGAAAAACAAAACAAAACAGGCAAGTAAACAAACAACAACAACAGGAACCCCACTGCTGTCCTGTGTCTAGTGCGGCTGCCTTTGTCGGGTTTTGTCCAGTGCTTAATAAGGCCCTCGATAAGGCAGTGTAGATGCAACAAGTCCAGAAGGGCAGAGACTCTTGGAATGGAGCCAGCCCATGTAGGAAGGAATGAGGGCAATCCTGTGTAGATTTCAGAAATGGCAGTGCCAAAGTTCTGTGTAAAATGCCACAGAAATGTCAAACAGTTCCAGACTTTTGCTTACACTTGTCAGACATAAGCCAACGCTTTAAATGAATGCTAAAGAAGGAAACACCACACTTTGTGGAAATTATCAAGTTTTTTAAAAATTCATATTTTTTATGAAAAGACTCAAGTTGCACACCATAACATTTACCATATCCATGAAACAGTTAAACATTTCTTGACACTCAGTGAACCAGAAGAGAACAGTCAGTCCCAAAGGGGAAAGAAAATCAACAGATGTGAACCGAAAAATGACCCAGATGTTTAATAAATTGCTGTTTGTTTAGAGCTGATACTTTAGACAAGTTTTACCTGTGATGCATGAGTTAGGATAAAAAAAAAAAAAGATCAGACAAATACTCAAAAAGAATGAACAAAGAGAAATTCAGAGGAAAATGACTGATGTAATAAAACAGAGCAAGATTATTATTATTTTTTTTTTTTTTTAGTTTTTCGAGACAGGGTTTCTCTGTGTACCTTTGTGCCTTTCCTTGAACTCACTTGGTCGTCCAGGCTGGCCTCGAACTCACAGAGATCTGCCTGGCTTTGCTTCCCGAGTGCTGGGATTAAAGGCATGCGCCACCACTGTCAGGCGATTAAATTTTTAAAACAAAAAAATTAAGTAATCTCTACAACAGAGCAAAAAACTCACTGTATGGCCTCTATAACAGGGAATGGACTGCTGGGTTGTCAGATAAATTAATGTAAAGCAACTTGAATGAGTTAATCTCCAGGTATTTAATACAAAAGCTCCAAAAGTGCTTCACAGGCCACTGAGATAATTTAAAATGGTCTCATACACATAGGTGTGTGTATGGGCACACACACAAGTGTATGCACAAGCATGAATGTATAGTCACAGATGAAAGAGTTTGGGAGGATGAGTTATGCCTGGAATTGACCCCAAACTACACAAGCATGTTGACAACTGTGATTTGTGAATCTCAGTACATCATAAATAGAGGAATTCAAAGAAACTCATATCTGGACAGATTCTAATGGAGTTGATAAATAACAAAGATAATACATATACCCAAATGAAAATTAAGACATATGCTTTTCCAAAGAAATGCAGGGAAAACTATAGAAATTTCTCTTTAGAAACACAGGCTAGAAGACAGAGACACCATCTCCTTGGAGGAAAAATAACAGAAAATTCTCACAAAAACAAAAAAAACTAATAATTGTTCAGGAATAAGGATAGGTGGGGAACTGATTTTTGTGGACATCGACATTGTACACACTTAATGTGAAAAGAAAGCCCAACAGGACAGGACACACTTGTAATTCCAGCCCTCTGCAGACAGATGCATGAGGATTGCCATGAGTTTCTGTTCACTTGAACTACACAGTGAGGCAGAGTAATATATAATGGACAACAAATTGAATCTTGGGTAATAGATTTACAACATTAAGGAAGAAGGCAGATCAAAAGGATGGTATAGCTTTTCAGTTCTTCAAGATATTTGTAACTGGCTAAGATGCATATTCTGCAATTTATATAAAGTTGTCAATGAATATTACTATAATATATTTCTGGACATATTCAAATATTACTTAATGAAGAGGAGTAATTGGCATATATAAATAATGCAACAAATCTCAAAGTTTGAATAAAACATTGTAAGAAATGGTGATTGTTTAGAAAATATGAAATATATTAAATTACTTACTTAAGATGCCACATTAAAAAACTTTATATAAAGAGTAAATTGAATATAGAACTTAAAAAATTAGGGGAATAATGAAGATAAGACAAAAATCTTCAAAATAGAAAACAAGTACATAATAGATGATAACAATAAAATATTATAAATGATAACTTTGAAGAAATTGATTGTTAATCTTATTAAATATTCCAGAAAAAGAAAGAATTTCAATAAATAATAGTTTGCCGATGAGATACATGCACTGAAAAATAAAGACATTTTTCAAAGTGAACTGAAAATGAATCATAGAATTTAACATAAAATTAAATTTCCAAAGCTTAAGAAGGAATTAGAGAAGTGAAGACTCATAGAAAGATTAAATACAATGCAAACTGTAACACATGAAAGTCCAGCATTATATATTTCATAGACAGTAATTTGGGTATGGAAAAGAATTTAAAATGATAGATAAAAATATATGTATGCATCTTCATTCTTTAATATTTAACTTTGAAAAACCATAAGCATACTAAATAATTGGAAACATATAAATTCTATCCATATGGTAACGATAAGATTTAGATACTATATTGATGTACATACAGGCATGACAGTGAATGGTGACTGAAAGCTAAGCAAGGCACATCACACAGTAGGAGAAAATATGGGCAAACCATGCACTTCATAACGAAGTAAGAGCCAAAACACATATGGGACTCGAGTTAATAAACAGGAACACCCTGATTTAGAAATGGGCAAATAACTAGAACAGATATGTCTCTGAAGAAGACAAGTAACTGAATCTTGTGCATTAATAGTCACTCAAAGCATCTGTGGGGCTGTTAGTTAAGATGCATGTAATGTCAATGAAATAGCTTTCTTGCCATTGTGATTAGTAGAGTTGGTAAGTACGTAAATAATAGAATTTATTCACATTGATCTTGGCTATTTTTGTTAAAGAAATTATCAATATGAGTTCTATCATATTTAATAGTTACTATTACGTTCTATTAATATTAGCACAGTGAAAATACCATGATGAAATATTCTGTAAACAAGAATACTTCAAATACCCCCCCCCAAGATTGTTAATGTTTTTCAGGTATCAGATAGTATCCAGCATTCCTAATTCACATGTAGTTGTTGAGAATGGCCTTACATTTTTCCTCTTTAATATCATGTAGAGAACATTATTTTAAATCTGAGGTAATGAATTAAGGTAGAAGCTCAATTTTTATTAGTCTTTAAGCATGTAGTTATAATAAACCACATAGTCTTGAACTCACCTCATCATGAAAACCACTAACAATTTCTTTTATAAATTGCACTTTTAAAAATAATAATTTACAGACAATAAACAATTTTTGATGAAGTATAAGGATTGACATATATCACTGCATTTTGTATCTTATGCTGATGCCAATTAATTCAACAAAATTAGCAAGGACTCAAAACACATCTACATATCTAAGACTTTGGCTTTAAGCACACACATGCACATACACACACACACACACACACACATGCACACATGCACAAACACATACATGGTTTAAGGACTTGATTATCAAAAACAAGTATGGTGCCGGGCAGTGGTGGCGCATGCCTTTAATCCCAGCACTCGGGAGGCAGAGTCAGGCGGATCTCTGTGAGTTCGAGGCCAGCCTGGGCTACCAAGTGAGTTCCAGGAAAGGCGCAAAGCTACACAGAGAAACCCTGTCTCGAAAAACCAAAAAAAAAACAAAAAAAACAAACAAACAAACAAACAAAAAAAAACCAAGTATGGCTCGTTGATCTAGTATTTTCCGTTCAATATTTCAAAGGATAGCAGTCAGCATTTTCTGGTAGTTCATTAAATACAAGTCACTGTGAAATGTACAGGGACTTCCACTGGTTATCTCTAATAACTGACTGAATGGTTTCCTTCCTTCTAAAGCTGTGCATTGAACATTGAAAAAAAATGTACCAACCGTTCATGTTGATTTTTGTATAAAAGTCATATTTTCTCAAACCAGCTAAAGTTATTGTCTTTACAGTACACAGTGAGTATGACTTACATTCAATGTCAAGGTGCATGCTCCTCTGGTGCCCACCAATTCTACTCGCAGCCTCACAGTCATATCTCCCTGAATCCGATAACTTCACATCTCTGATGTGCAGCGATGAGTGTCCATGCTGCCCTTTGACTTCAATACGGCCATCTGGGCTCTGTTCACAAAGATTCAGAAACAACAAAAAAGCAAGAGTTTACTCGTGTTGAGGAGAAATGATGCACAGGCTCATCATGTTTGTCATGTCAGCATATCAATGAAAACGTGCTGATGTCACATTTAAATATGGAAGAATACAGTTTCTGTATTTGCTACTTTATGATATTCAGTTTCTCATTTTACATGAGCAACTGTTCACAGGGCACTGATATGTAGGGTAGCCTTTCACAAATATTTTGTCAGCCACTTTTAGTTATTTTTTGCTGTTATTTTTATACCTTTTTGCCTTTTATTGAAAATAATTTCTTTTCCCATATAATATATCCTGATACAGGTTTCCTCCCTTCCACTCTTCTCGGTTTCTTTCTACATCCCCTCCCTTTTGGATCCATTCCCTTTTTGTCTCTCGGTAGAAAAAGAACAGGAGTCTAAAAAATAACATCAAACATAACAAAATAAAATGTTGTCATCTAAAATGAAACAAACAAATAAACAAACAACAAAAAAACCCAAAAAAACAAACACTGAAGTTAAACAAGGCAAATCCACAACAGGAGAAGGGCCCAAGCAAAGGCACAAGAATCAGAGATCCACTCCATTCCCTCACATACTAAGGAGATCCATAATAACACTAAACTGAAAGCTATAACACATAAGCAGAGGACCTGGGGTGATCCATGCAGGCCCTGTGCTTCCTCCTTTGCTCTCTTTGTGGGTGAGTTCTTATGTGACTGAACTTAAACGTCTATATATTTCTGAAATTTTATCATAATTTTAGGATCATCCAAATTCAATTCATATCAAAAGATTCATTTATCCAACATTATATTGATTATGGGGCAGAGTAGGATTCATTTTTGTTTTGTAATTTTATCGATGTAGTTGTTACATAATCAGATACTGTCAGGTGACTTAGAATTTACCTTGTATCAGAAAAAGCAGTCTTCTCAAACAACTTTGATAATGACTTTTTCTACCAAAAATAGACTTTCTGACTCACAAATAATAGTAAAATTTAGTTTAAGAAAATACGACATTCTCTCAACAAATGATGAAACTGAACAAAGAACAACAACAAAATGCAAGCAATCATACAATTTAAAAGAACGAGAAAACCAACAAAGTCAAATCATAAATTTCTTCCACAAGGTAAGTAGGTCATTCTCCACAATTGCATGGGGATCCCATCACCCTTCAGATGCAAGTGTCCATTCCTTGCTCAGCAGAACTAGCCTTCCTTCATTAAGCACTGACTTCTCTTGGTTTTCATGATGCCCCAAATTGTCCAGTTTTCCCATGGTTTCCTGTCTCTGGCTACACCTTAGACTCTCCATGCAGACCCTGGACTTTGAAGCAACTCCCAGATGACTGTCTGCATTTTCTTTTCTTTTCAGAATACTCCTCTTAGGATGTTTCAGTCCTGCCAGTATATAAACTGATAATTTTCTCCATTCTTTCTCCTCCCAAGACCTCTCCTCACCCAGATCTTCAAAAGTAGCTATCTCACCTCAAGAGCATAGACATTAGATATGCATCTCAAATCACCATGATTATGTCTAGACTCTTCCCTTTGTTTTGAGATAAAGTCTTCTGTACAGCCCAGGCTGCCAACAACTTTGTGGTATCCAACCTCTCTTACTGATGGAATTACCATTATGTTCCCCATAGCCAGCAGTTACACAAGTCTGGAAAGAACTCCTCCAGACAACTCAGTGAGATCTGTTTTTCTTTCCATGATAGGAACTTTTGGCATGCCCTGTACAGTATCATGTGCTTGGCCTTAGATAGGTTTTTGGAATTTAATTTGTTAATGAATTTTCTAGAAGTAGAGTATCTGAATCTGCCACCTTCCTCGGCTTTCATCTTTCTGTCCCAATAACTTTGTTTCAATCAATCAATCAATCTGCTCTGTGCTCCGGCTGTCCTGTCTCTATTTGTACCACTTTGAAAGATATTGATACATGTCTATTGAATCAAGAGGGAATAGGTACATTTTTAGGTTGAATGCTACCCAGAACCACTTTCCAACACTGTGAAATGCATAGATATATTTCTTGTTTTTCTGACCAAATCAATATGAAATTCAGAAAGCATTTCTTGTGTTACTAGGAACATTTTTATCAGCAATTTTTTTGTTTTCATAATAGCTTCATGAATATTTCATCTCACCTTGGCTGTATAACTGCAAATATCATAACTTCCCAAGTAAACTCCAATCCTTCAGCTTGACAGTTAAGGACCTCTGTGTGTTATCACCTTTCTGTCCGAGCACATTTTACAATTTTAATACCATCAACTCGAATTATTTCAAATTATTTATACTGTCCTGAGTATCCTGTGCTTTCTCCAAGTACCTTCACATCATTGTCTCAAACTACTTCACCTTTATTGCTTCTAGCATCCATATTTACACTGCAAGATTCTCCTGTCTATCTTTTAATATATCGACCAGATTTTATTTACTATGCAAAATTGTCTTGCTTGCCTGAAAAAATGAGTACAGCACTTTTGACCTCTATGTTTTGCTTGGGACAAATGCATTTCCTCAATTAACTTTCCAAATTCAAGACCCTGTAGCACGGAGTAAAATTATAATTGAATAAATATGAGAAAATTTCAGTTTTGTTTCATGGCTATATACCATAGAATAGTGCATACAACAGAAAAGGTATTTTAATATTTTTGTAAACCAAATTGAGTCATTTACAACTGGTCTAATACAGAAGTGTTTCTGTTGTTATTTATTACTGATTACAAACTTGTTTTGTAATTGACCTTATTAGAAAATAGTAACCAGTTGTATTGATAATAATGTACATGAAGCAGCCAGAGAGATGATTCAGAGGGAGAGATCACTGGTTGCACTTCAAGGTGACCCAGGTTCAAATTCCAGGGAACACACAGATACAACTGTCTGTAACTACATCTCAGGGGACCCATCATCCTCTTGTGACCTCTCCGAGGTACTGCATGCCCATGGTACATAGACATTTGCAGGCCAAATACCAATAAACATATAACACAACACAATAAATATTTTCCTTGAAAAGTCAGTGTACAATATCTGGTCTGTTAACAAAAGTATTGTTTGTCAACATTATTGAAAAGTGAGTTTTAATATTTTAATTGTTGCTAAAAAATAAACACATTCTCTTTTTATAGCCCATAATAGATTATCTAGAATTTGACTTGGAAAATTCTCTGACTGAATGCTGAGTTAACATCAATTCACAGTGAAAATGCTGATTTTCAAAAATCAATATAAAAGTATAATATACAATTTGTATGAAAAAATGCTTTAAAAATATGTGATTCATTGAAAATTAAGTCATTTTAGGATATAACTTAGGCCTTGAAAAGTTCACTATGGGCATTTGACTAGAAGACCAAAGTCATTCCCTTATATCTGACATTCAAAAGGACATCTCTCTCTCTCTCTTTGTGCTACAAAAAGGCATTACACAAATCTAAAAGAAAATTCATTTATATCTTGGCTTTGATTCAATACTGCCTGAAGATTCATTTAGGACATCTGATATTTGATTGAGACAGGTTAATGGGCATTTTAGCTGCCTATCTAGGACTTCCAGGTTCTACCACTGAATGAAGTACGATGATTAGAAAGCAAAGTGTCTGCCTGTACATTATCATTTCTGCCCTTCATAGAAATGAACTCCTTGCAGTTTGATTCAATGTTTCATCTTTTGCCTTTCTAGAAGGTCATTTAAGAGAGGCTTATTGTATAACGGTTCCATAATTTTATAAAATGATTGCACATAGAGCTTACCATTATTTCAACAATCCATTACTGAATAACCACAGAATACTAGCATCTTGATTTAGTTAAAAAACTAACATTTTTGCTAATTATTACCATAAAACAATTGAAATTATAAAATGTACAGTTTCCTACAAAAAAGCCCCCTCATATTTATATTGTTAAATGACCTTAAAGTTAGAATCCACGTGTGCGTATTTGAAATGACAACTCTCCTTTCCTGTTTGCATCATGTCTTTGAAAACTATTATTGTTTTTAGTTCCTTTTTTATGTATGCAGTGCTTATTTATTTATTGTCAAGGTGTTATTCCAGAGTCCAGTCTGACTTTAAATTCTGGTTTCTGCTGCTTCAGCTTACAAGGTGCTCCTATTACAGTTATGTAGTCTTCTGGAATTTGAGATATCTGTGAATCAAGTCACCCATTCAATAACTCTGTAGGTTTTCTTCACTTACTCTGTTATAAGCAAACTCTCCACATACAGTGTTGAGCAAAAATAGAACAGACATTATCTTTAGTGATTTTCCAGCTTGTTTGTTTGTTTGTTTGTTTGTTTGTTTGCTTTTCGAGACAGGGTTTCTCTGTGTAGCTTTGTGCCTTTCCTGGAACTCGCTTTGGAGACCAGGCTGGCCTCAAACTCACAGAGATCTGCCTGCCTCTGCCTCCCGAGTGCTGGGATTAAAGGCGTGGGCCACCACCACCCTACAATTTTCCAGCTTAATAGAGGATTTCTAAGTATAGTAAAAAAAGAATAATAATAATAATTTTACCATGGAGAACACCACAACTTCATTTAAGGATTAAAGATAAATGTAGAATCAGACTGATGCTCACTGAACACCTAAAATGTAGGTTAAGTTTTTAAAATGATGATAACTGGATGGTGTTGAAAAAAAAAATTCAAAGCCGATGCCTCAAGGGCATATACGAGAACCGAAAGAACTCTACAAGTGCAAATGAGAGTGAGGGCATGATGGCAAATCTTCTGATTCAGGCAGGTGAGAAGAGTGCCTGCCCATAGAATCCAAGAAGACTGCAGAACTGTTGTGGGATAATGCTTTTGTACACTGGTTTAATAAAATGTTGATTGGCCAGTAGCCAGGCAGGAAGTATAGGCAGGATAAGCAGACAAGGAGAATTCTCGGAAGAGGAAGGCTGAGTTGGGAGATGCCAGCCCGCTGTCCAGGGAGCAGCATATAATGGCACACAGGTAAAGCCAC